CTTATAACTGAAGCTTAGAAAATTTCCAAAACTTCATACATAAATAATCCTAGCAGTTTTGATGGGTACTATGCTAACATAACTACAAAGTTTTAAACACTGTCTTTTAATGAAATTGCGCTTATCTAAAGTATTTTACAATTTCTCAATTTTTAATTCCTTCAATCTTTGATCTTTTGAAAACCATAAAATGTTCAAGGGGTTTGTGAATGATTGATAGAATCCGATAAATCGATGACAGCTGAGCGTTGCTAATAACTGTGTTTTAAAATAGCTGAAATCGGCAAGATTTTTAATTTCCAGTTAACTTTATACCTAACTGTTGAAGCTTAAATAAGCATGGAATAATACAACACAAAATGTACGTTAACAAAATGTATTGAAACAAAGAATAGGTACACAATATTTACAGTTAGTTTGGTATATTCTTGGGAAGACTGTTCCTGCATAATGGGTTGACTAAATCGCAGTCGGGCAGAGTCTCTGGATTCAATTTCTTAATCTCTACTATCTTCCCCCTGTCTTCCGGTACCAACCCATATTTATATGGTCGGAAGTCCGCTTATGTAAATTAGGTGTATCATACACAACACTAACAAAGTTGACATGTACTTAGTATCTTAACACGGACTCGATAACTTCGTCCAGTAAAAATAAAAAAAGAAATCGTTCGTTCTGGCTCATATGATTCAGGATTCATTTATTGTTGTAGCATAATAGGTATGCCTCATTTCCCATTAATACAGTAGTAAATACTGTTGGTCTGCAGTTGGAGATTCATCTCCAGTTGTGATGGTCAAACATTCTGCCTCCGAGTAAAGAGGATCAGCAGACGAGGCTATGTCGAATGGCAGAGTCTCGTCTCGGGAAACAGCTACTGGGCCCCGTTTTTATACAGGGTCTACGGGGAATTTTTGGCCGAGCCTACGGGCTCGGATACCCCACATTAAATTTGGCCTTGTGCAACAGCTGACCGCGTAGGGCGGTTGATGGATATCCTAGAGTTGGAGATTCATTGTGGAAATCATTTGAATCACTTATAGCAGTTGACTACTTCTGCGCCCAGCTGGCGAATCTTATATGTGTTGTTCTTGTCCTAAGTATTATCGTTCATTACCAACCCTCGTTTGATTATTCTATACAGTAACCTTCCTTAGAATACAACATTTATTAAGTTCGATATTTCTTAAAACGATCTTTTACTGTAGCCATGTATACACATATATTCTGAGTAGACTACGTAAAGTTCTGAATGGATACAAAATATATTACAATCGTTGCTCCGATAGTGATGTCGCTATTTTATTATATTAACACATTTATAATAGTCAGAGGCCAATGATGGTGGTAGCGTTACCATTAAATAATCCATAATTCTACTTTTAATTGTTACATATAGTAGCTGAGCGGCAGTCTGGAAAAATTTTGTCTGACATGAAAGCATTAAGCATTAATTGATATTTAATATTGCTTGCTAGATGTTTGCGAAGACGTCAAGATGGTTGTGAGGACATATCAATGAATTGAACATAATACAGTCAAAAGTTAGGCTTATTATTCTGTGGCGGAAAACTTACTCAATCCATTGGGACTATTGTGCCTCGTGTATCTGTTGTAGTTTCCGTGGAAATAAATAGAACTACATTCCAGCCGTCCTTCGTAATAATATAAAGTCAAATATTTCCTAAACTTAAACTAATCTGACACAAGGTCAAAATAGTGGAAAACCTAGAAAAGATAAAAACCATTATTCTATCAATGGTCTGCGAGATTAAATAAATATGGAAGCAAACTTTACTATCTTTTGCTTTTTTGATTTCATATCAGAATCAAATTAGATGCAAAAGTAAAACATTTACAAAGAACACGTAATGTGCGATCTAATTCCAATCGCAGACTGAACATTGAAGTTGGCAGTTTCCAAAACATATATTGAAATAACACATTTCATTTTTATGTGTGTATTAGGAATTTGATTATTATATATATATATATATATATATATATATATATATATGTGTGTGTGTGTGTGTGTGTGTGTGTGTGTGTGTGTGATAAGATAAAGAACAAATACAAAACGTTTATCACTCTAACATGTCTCGCTTTTATTAAAGCTTCATTAGAGAATGAGATATAGATAAATAGATAGATAGATATAGACAGACTGACATAGATAGATAGACAGACAGACAGATAGACAGATAGATAATTATGAACAGAGCTAGCTAGCTAGATACACACACAAAAATGAGATAGATGGGGGTTAAATCTAGACGAAATATGCATCAGAATCCGACAGGATGATAAAATAATGAACAAATAGGACATTTTTATCAATCTAACCTGTTTCACTTTTATAAAAGCTTTATCAGAGATTGATAGAAAGTAGATGACAATCGATCCAAACAAAAATTGAAAAATACCAAAGTTCTGTCTTTTTGTCTGTTTTCTCTCAATCTCTGACGAGGCTTTAATAAAAGGGAAACATGTCTGATTGATAAACTTTTCCTGTTTGTTCTGTATTTTATCATCCTGTCGGATTCCGATCCATATTTCATCTGCATTTGATCATTAACTTATCTATGTGTATAAATTTGCCCAATTATTAGATGTATGTAAAAGTTATGATCGAAAAAACAGTTTCCAACTGTGTATTAAGTTACTGTTTTCCCCAAAGACCGCTTGGGGGAATATATCACGTGATTTCAGCTTGGAGCTTTGCCGATCCTGAACGTCAATGCCCTTACACAAAATTACAAATTTAAGCGCACTTACAGGAAAACGCACATATTAAATTGAAACTTTATCCCTGTACTCGAATTTATTCGTTAAAATATTCATCTTTATCTTTCAATGTTTCCATACAACGATGAGAAATTGAACTGCAACTCACTGAAACATGAATTTCACCAAAGTACAGTATCTGCGGATGCGCGGTGTGGTTATACGTGGATAAAAGTTCGGTTCATTACAATTATTTTCGCGCAAATATCCTTGGGAAAGTTATGAATTTATCTCCTCTCCCTCCCAGCTATGGGTTAAATAGCAGGACAGACTCTATCTGATAACCTTGACTGGAAACCAGTTTGTAGCAGAAAGAAATGGCAACCTACAACGAGTTAATCCTCTGCTGAATCAGTCATGAATCGAAAGAGACATGATCGGCCAAGCGTGTATCACGTGCGGTCTTGTAAGAATCTTACAAGTGCATCGTTTGTGTTGAATCTTAGTCGGTAATGCATGGTACAATAAGGGTCAACACACACACTTCATTTTCCTCAATTAGTACCTTTTGAGAGGGATCAAATTGTGAGCATTCAAGAGGTTGGATGTTCATTAAAATGTATATATTGATCGAGAAAGATGTTTATCTTGGAGTGTATTTCTAACTTTGGCACAGCCTATTTGCAATATCCCTGTGTATCGCGTCCAGTACCGCCGAACAGCACTATGGTTTCGATATGACTACAAAATGGCTTCTTTGTAAGAATTAAACAATTTCATTTATAGAGTGAGTTAGCGCATTTATTTTGCTCGTCTCTTCACAAATTATTATGTGCGCAGATATTGATTAATCTTGGTAGGAAACAAAAAAAATGTGTTATTTTTTTTTAAATGCCAGAAAAGGCTAAACGGCGCGAAGATTTTTGCTCGTTTTCCGACGGTCACACGAAAGTGTCACTCTGTACACCGGAAATGCTAGTTCGACATGCTTAGTGCAATGTTAACTTTATCAAGCAAAGGTTCGAGTCAGGACAAAAAAAATGGGAGGATGTTCATAATCGCAAAAGCACTGAGGTTGATTTCGATTATACCAGGTTTAGGATTATCGGCTTTGTGGACGTAGATGAACTATTGTTTAGAAATTGGTCGTATGACGATGACAGTAATAATTCTAAAGATTGGAATGTCAATGACAGATGGTAACAGATGATGACAGATGGTAACAGATGATGACAGATATTAGTTATAGACGGTCTGTTGGTGTCATGCTTAAAAAAGATTTTCGAGAATTGATATGCAAATTAAAAACTAATGCAACTACTTAAGTTCAGCGGACAGGCTAAATGCAGGCGTCATACACAAGCTACGCAGACGGAGAAAATAGGGTAAATAAACATTTGTTTAAATTAAATTGGACACTTGGGAAGATTGTCTAGCGGAAATCCATTATAAATTACTTAAAATTTGAATTTTATTGTGTTTTTCTAATCGCCATTCTACATGAGCTATTTCTGTTGATGAGAAGTCTATTTTCAGTACCTTGTCAAATAGATTTCTTCTTCTTCTTCTTCTTCTTCTTCTTCTTCTTCTTCTTCTTCTTCTTCTTCTCCTCCTCCTCTTCATAACTTCCTACTCTTTTCGTTTTGCCTTTTCTCTATCCCGCCAATGCCAGTTCTGCCATTCATTTACACAATCTCGTTAGATAAGTGACACGTTGCTTTCATCCGTCTTTTGCCTTCAAAGTGCCTTATAAGTGTCAAATTCTCCAAGCCTTTTTCCTAATTATGTATACTTGAAATTTCAACTATTTTTCTAAGCCCTTAACTATATAAATAATTTTATACATTGTTCTTATCTTCGTCTTTTTATCTTATAAGAATCTATTTATATTTTAAGCCAATCAACAATAATAATTTGTTCTAAACTGGAAAACTGTCTTCTAATTTTCCTATTTTCTTTTAAAATCTGCAAAAATATTTGCAAACAAAAATTAACATTAATACCAAGTTAATAAAAAGTAATTTCGCCGTTACCGATGTCTCCACCAAGACACACTTAAACAGAATTAGCAGAGTTACGCAGAATTAATTGTGCTCAACAGTAAATGACGGTGGAATCGCAGTGAAGATGAAATACGAAATAGAAAATGTTTCTCAAAGTGAAAGCATTAATTTATCATTAGGATAAACATAAAAAAAAAATGATTCGATTGAAATATGAAGTCATTGAGTGTTCATTGCTAGTGGCGGCCATCGTGTATTTGTGGCCTTCTTTACTTTTTTGAGCTTTATCCTGTCGCCTTAGAAGCAACATTTCCCTAAAGGACACGACGACGTTCGAAAATATGTGTAAGTTGTTGATCTTTTTGTTTAACGGGCGTATGTATGCGAATGTCAGTGGAAGAAGGGAAGGAAATAGGGAAGAAGAGAAAACGGGTAGCAAGAAAAGAAAGAGAGAGAATTCATGAAAAAGAAGAAGAAGTAAGAGGAGGTGAAGGAGGAGAAGAAGAAGAAGAAGGAAGAGGTGGAGGAGGAGGAGGAAAAAAGAAGAAGAAGAAGAAGAAGAAGGAGGAGGAGAAAAGAAGAAGAAGAAAAAGAAGAAGAAAAAAGAAGTCGGAGGAGGGGAAAGAGGAGGATGAGATGAAGAAGAAGAACAAGAAGAATAAGAAGGAAGAGGAGGAGGTGAAGAAGAAGAAGAAAGAGTTGGAGAAGGAGAAGAAGAAGAAGAAGAAGAAGAAGAAGAAGACGGCGTTGTGATAACACCAAAAATACACATACAAACATTTCTTCGCATTATCGCCTTGTTTGGGGTGAAATGATCAAAAAAAAAAAAAAAAAAAAGAAAGAAAAGAAAAGAAAAAATGAAATATAAAGAATAAAAAACAATATTTATGAAATATTTGGTCAGAGACGGCTTCTTTAAAACAGTTAATCGGATTCGTCACATAGATCCTCACTGTGCGTCCCAATTTTGATTTCTTATACCGAGAAATATAAATCTAGTAAATATATAGAACAGAAACTAAATCTAGTAAATATATACAGCAGAAACTAAATCTAGTAAATATATACAACAGAAATAATTGTTACTAAATAATGAATCATTTCTTTTCTTTTCTTTTTCTGATTTGAAAATGAAACTCGACATTTTTTTTAGACATCAACGAATCTATGAATCCTTTTTTAATCAAGGCAATCCTAAAAACGACAAATATGTTTCGTCATCTTTGGGTGAATGGTTAGATTTATATGTTTCATTTTTGTTTAGATTTCTTCTATGCTATCGTTTGTTTGCGTACATCCATTTCCATTTGGTCGGAAAAATTCTCATCTTAAAAATCTAATTTCGTAAATGTGTCGAGTATTTTGGTTGAGATTTGTACAATTTGATTCCAAAGTCAAAAGAACAAAAAAAATGAGAATTGATTTTAGGCCTTTGATATTCGCATCCCAATCGAAACATTATACATTTGTTGTTCCCCCCTCCTCTTCGGAAAATATTTAGTGGTGCTAATTCTTGTAATCAACAGAATATGGTTCTACAGAAGGCTGATGAGAATACCATAAAGCAAACATGTGAGCAACGATGAAATTTTAGAGGAAATGGAAACAAAAAGAAAACTTACACTTGAGTAAATGGATGAAGCGGAGGGGGGAGAGGTTTAGGAGAAATAAGAAGAGGACAAAATTTATGAAGAACTACAGAGGATTGTGGAGAGACATGATTGCTAACTTCCCGATGGGACATGGCACATAGAAGAAGGTCTTGTAATTCACTATCAGAGAAAATAAAAGGAGATACCATTATTATTTTATATTCTGCATTTTTGTCATACTCCTCCCCTCCCTCTCTCTCTCTCATTCTCTCTCCCTCTGTAATATATATATATATATATATATATATATATATATATATATATATATATATATATATATATATATATATATGTGTGTATGTGTGTGTTTATGTAAATATATATATATATATATAAGAAAAAAACGTGACGAAAACCTTTCATGCCAACGCATAATTTAACATAACATAATGGGGAGCATTATCAAGGCAAATATAGAAATTTTATTTAGTCATCTGTATGTATAAACAGAACTAACGTGCAAAAAATAAAATACTGATAAGTTTAAAAATGTTGTATTAGAGAAGACCCCCAAAATATCCTAAAAACTTACCGTGCAAAGGTAAAATATGGAAGACGCAAAGTGACGAAATTGTTCGACCTATTAAATATAACAGCCTCATCCACCTGTAAAAAGGGAGACTAAAAATAAGGGAAGCACTAATAATAAAAAATAAAAACCAACACGCAATAACACCAACTATGAACACGGCCACAATGTGCTGACCGTGTTTGGACAATAAACCATTCCTATAACTCTAGATACATACATAAAAAAAAATCCATGCATTCTGTTAAAAATAAAAATATCATTCTCGATAAAAGAATAGCCGAATGTTTCTGGACATACAGAAGATTTGGACAATTTTTACACTCTTTATGTCCAGAAAAGAAAACCCTTATATGATCACAAGAAAAATGAATTATAAAGCTTAATCGCAGTACCTTGTCAATCGTCTTTAATGAAACTTGTATAAAAAGAGATGGCTACCCAAATACACAATTACACACACACACACACACACATATATATATATATATATATATATATATATATATAATGCAGATCGTGAATCCAATGAAAGAAGACACTTTTTATGCAAGCTGGGATTCTCCCACAGGATCTGCAAACTGCAGTTTCATTAAAAGTTGTTAATCTAATTCAGAAGAAACTGCATAGAGAAATAATTGATGCCCATCTCCCAAGGGTATGTTTTAGATTGGGAACTTTTCAATGAACTTTCGTGGTTTTTCTACCAGCCACATTTCAAGGGAGAAAGACTCAGAACGTCTCCTGCTGAAAATGAATCATTTGTACAATTTCGATTCGCCAACTAGTGAGATAATAATATTAACAGTGAACAAACAGTGAACAATTCGAATCTCTTTCTGGAGCATTTTACTTTCTCCTATGCCGTAATTAGAAAAGTTAACAGCGAATCGTAAAGACGCCGGACGTTGTTTTGACTGTCTTCATCGTAGAGGAAAGAAAATCTGTATTTTTATTTATTATGTTTTTATTTTTTGGACTGGGGTGGTGGATTTCACGAGCAAGTAACAATTGCTGCAGATATTCTCTTGGGCACTTTTCCAGCCTGGTCAGCTCAGCAGCATTTGTTCGAAGCACGCACCGACTACAGCCACCTACATCTTTTGAAGCGTCCAGTTCAGAGTCTGATGTACACAAACCAAAATCTCCAAAGGAGGTTAATAAGCTGTTGGGATATTGTCACGCGCCAGCATCGACCCCCCATCGACTGCGATTACTGATCAAAGTGCATCCTTTCGATTCTTCTACGTTTTAAACTTTCAGCGTCAAATACTTGTAACAAACAAAACTACTCAGGTTCGTATCTCGATGCCCTGGCAGAGGGAAAATTATGACGCCATCTTAAACATTAAACATAAAACGAGGCCCCCTAACACTTTCAGATCCTGAATTCGTTTCACCTGCAGTGATTCTGATTAAAACAACGGGTGTAATAAAACACAGCGGTCAGCCTCTGGTCAGCGATAGTTCGGCGTTGGTTTGTACCGGTTTCAATTCCGATCTGGGGAACGATTTGATGAACCTCATGATCAAAGAAAAAGAATAGATATTCTACAAAAGGACATCTTAATCTGTTTGTTATATGGAACGGATAGAGACAAATTGTAATGATAACGATAATTTAGTTGTTTCCTTATAAGGAAACATTTAGCATACACTGACCGAATAGCCAGTACTAATGTCACTTGAAATTTTAAAAACCTTTAACTTAAAACCATTTTTCAGGAAAACAGGCTTCGGTAGCTGTTATCGTTCTTTCCAGTATTAATGGCAATTTCTTTCCTAACCTTTTGTTTGAAGTCGTGATTATGTCATTAGTTTCTCTTCGAGTTTCCTGTGTCAAAAATCATGAAGTAATGTTGTTTCTGTTATCTCACACGGTTCTTTGTGATTGTGTAGCGGCTGTTGACAAAGTTCGAAGAAGAATGCTCTTCGCCAAAATACACAGCCTTCATTCGCTCAAAGCCTTTCTTAACTATTGATCCAAGAAAATGGTTGGATATAACTGACAGTTTAGATATTTCTGAACGGGTTTAAAGCCGTGCATGGCATCCATATGAAAGTCACGATCTGACGCGTCTATTTTAGAACATGATTCGAGTTGTCAGATTAAAGCTTTGGGTTGGTAGCAATTTGCATTTGCTGGTCGAAACGACACCTGGTGCCGTCTATTCTCTGTTCAATTTTCTTATCTATTATACTTAATTTGTTATAACTGCTCCATATACCAAAGTATTTGAAGTGCTTAGTGTTTACTAATTCCACAATCTGAATTTTTATGATCGATTAAGGGAAGGTGAATCAACTGCTTTTATTCTAATTTCAGATCATACTTTCTGTTTTGGAAACATAGGCAGACAAAAAAGATTAAAATGTTCACGTCAATGGATATATATATATATATATATATATATATATATATATATATATATATATATATTAAGACATTTTTATGTTTATACATTCTTTTTATATATACAAATATTTACGTAAATGCTCTGTTTATAATAAACAGTATTAAACATCATTTACCGTCCTGAATATCCGAGAAATTTTCATAGAAAATATTCGTCCTCCGACAGGAATCAAACCTGTATCCTATACGGAACGGTCATATAGCCTGACGTGTCAATTTTGTACCTATAAAAAAGAATGTATAAACATAAAAATGTTTTAAAATAATTGTCGGACTTTGTCCATTTCATAATATATATATATATATATATATATATATATATATATATATATATATATATATTATAATGTAACTATAAATAGAAACAGACATCTTCTGTTTTATAGATATAGATATTTAATTCAAAGTAAAATTTTAAAAGTCTTTAAAGACTTAAATTAGCTATTTGACTTGAATGTGATTTTTGTGTTGAGCGCAAAAGAAAGTCAACGTTAAACAATCATTTTTATATTTTTGTTTCTTCTTTCAATCAACCGAAGATAAACAATAAAAATGTATGTTCTCAAAGATCCTTCATCGTAAAAAGACCCTGTCCGCTATTTAGTGGATGAGTTGTTCACAAAAGTGTCACATCAAAATGGAAGAGTCGGACTTTCGAAAGACGTGAAGGAGATTAAAGCATCTGAAAATTAAATATTTGGCATTGTTCCCGCCAAATAGTTTCCCTATAAATTTTCCCTGCCTTTTTGAACAAATAATTAATTACTTTTTCCCATTTTCTATCACAGTAAAATGTGTGAAATGCACTTTAAAAAAAAACGATTTCTCGTCTAAATTAACCTTTGTAAAATTAACTACACAATGATGAATGTTCGACAAAACTTTTGGAAAAAAAAAAACGAACGTGATAACGGTCGCACTTGGTAACTTCTTCATATGTGTTTCATTTATAAAAATAATATTTATACTATGATTTTTCCAAGTGATTTTAGGCAAGCAAACTTTATCTAAAAACAGTATTTTTTTATTTCTTGTGGTTTTGCCTTTTTTATTAATATTTTTCATATTGGCTTTCATTTTCTAGTCATTTTATTTGAGTGTTTAATCTGAAAAATGTTCTCTTCAGTTGTGAAAATTGAAGACACGATTTTAAAAAAAATTGAAAATAAGAGGTTAAAATAACTGAATAAAGA